TTGTTTGCCATGTGTGTAGCTTGCTCGTGCGTACGAGCCAAGCATGATTGTGTTTGTGGATTGTTGTGGACTCAACCATCACCGTCATGGACTTGACGGGTGTTTGAGACATGTTTTAGTCGTGTGCGACACGATGGCCAACGTCATGGACTTGACGGGCGTGGATGTGCCCCTATTCATGGACTTGACTAGGGTATATGGCTGGATCCTATGGTGGACTCCATACGGTTTTGATTATCTTTCTATTGTGTCATGGACTTGACACGACCAACGTCATGGACTTGACGGGCGTGGAGGCGCTCTAGGGTATATGGCTGGACCCTATGGTGGACTCCATACGGTATGTTTGTATTTCCGTTGTGTCATGGACTTGACATCGGTGGTCACGAGAGTGACATGCGCAGGAGACGCGCAAGATCGCATGCAATGCGATGGCCAATGTCACGCGAGTGACGGGCGTGGAGGCGCTCCTAGTCATGGACTTGACTAGGGTATATGGCTGGACCCTATGGTGGACTCCATACAGTATGTTTTTATTTCTGTTGTGTCATGGACTTGACATCGGTGGTCACGAGACGTGACAAGCGTGCGATTGTGTACGTGCAGTTACACACGATGCGACGACCAACGTCACGCGAGTGATGGGTGTGTGATGCGCTTCTAGTCATGCCGACTTGATTAGGGTTTATGGCTAATCCTATGGTGGACTCCATACGGGTGATTATGATCGATGTGATATAAATACATGTTGCTATTACTTGGATGTCATTGTTTTCTCACCGTTCTCGCTGGGAACGGGATGACCGGGATTAACCCGGGTTACTCACTAAGCAGTTGTGCTTAACCCTCGTTGATTAACCATTTTCAGGTAACGATGAGCATGAGTAGCAATTGGATAGCGACTGAAGAGGAGGCAGCATCACGTACGGATATTTTCTATTGTATGTTTTGAACTATGGAATACAGTTTTCACATTCGGATGGTTGTATTAAGAGGAAGGAGACGACAGAAGGAAGAACAATCTCCCATTTTCTCGGCAACAAGAAAAATTTCCACCATTGCCCCGATAAAATTCCTGACAGAGCACGTCCCCATTTTTCTGCATTCACGAAAAAAGGGTTATAAGGAACAGCGCTATCTATCGAAGGAGACGACAAGGAACAGAAAGCACATCCAACTCTTTCAAATTTTTCTGCATCTTTCTGATTTTCTAGTAAGAGAAACGCTACTCTTTTAACTCTATCTTTGTAAAGAACTGTGGATGACATGTTTTTACATTTGTAGTCATGCTCGCGGTAGAAGTTCCAGATAACGATGAACAGACCGCTTCGGAGAGTACAATATACTGGGATGCAAATACTCATTTTTCTTCGTCCGAGGATGAGGATGGCGATGAAGTCTGCAGTGAACGGAAAGAGGAATACACTGCTCAAGACCTTTGGAAGATAGCATGTATCTTGAAGATTGTAGGAGGATACATAGCAGTAGCGGCGAGTATCATGCTCCCTAACAAATCACGGGACCAGATAGTATTGGACACACTAAAGTTGATGGCGAGGACATCGATGTTATCTTTTTTTGTCGGTCTACTGGAGAGCCATCCGGTAAGTTTTCTTTACGTATATACACATATACTTAAAATTAATTAAAAGCTAGTAGTGACAGTTTTAGGAAAAGCGCAGAGTCTTGGACAGTGGAGGGTTTTGTTGGCCGGATGTCTGTCTGCTTTTCTTTCCGTTAGTGGAGGTGTAGTTCCGTTTTTGTTATGTTCATGGACACGATCTCGTGCGGAAAGATTTGGATGGTTATGTGGAGTTTCATTCCTACTATTGACGGGGCTTGCATTCAAGTGGGCGAGGGTACGACATATAAGCAAATCCCGAGCCTTCGCTGAGGTATACATCTGCCTCATATTGAGCGTTTTAGCGATTTCGGGCTCATCAGATGCTTTGCCCTTTGCTTCTTTGTTTTTCGGCGATTAGATACGTGTATATAGTTTGCCATAACATCTTTTTTAGATTTTGTATATAGTTACCCATATTATAGGAAGACAAACACATTTATGTCATTCTATATGTCTACACGAGAGAACAAAACGCTTTTACATGTAAATGTAACTTCTTTTATTTTTTACCAAAAAATTTATTACTCTATTAATTTTAATAAGAGATTATCGCATAAAGGTATTATCAAAATACAAATTACTGTGTGCACAAGATACCATCGGTTAGAAAAATTTGTCCAAATGTTGGACTTGACTTGATTTGCAAAAAACCTAAATATTCTATTGGTGATATAAGTATAATATATTGTGTATATTTGATATATCCTAGATTTAAGGAGGTTGTTGCACTTAGGGTTACATACATATGTATATAATTATATACTCAAGCATGCATAGTAATTATCAAGAGCCTAAAACTCCAAAACCTTAGCGCCGTCGTCACCGCCTTTTGCGCCCTCACCACCTCTGCTCCCCCTTTCCCACACCGTTGTCCTTTGGTTTCGTCATCCCTTTGCTCTCTTGGCTGCTCCTACGTACATCACTGTCAACAACCGGAGCCAACTCCTCCTCAACAGATATCGTCGCCACTTTCAATCCCAAGATCCTCGGAAATCTCTTCTTTCTATCAACATGGTAAATGTCTCGTAATTTACTCCTATGAACTACATTTCTTGGAGTGTCCAAGTTCGCTTCTTGTTTGAAGGATACCAACTCGATGACTTCATCTCATCCGATGGTTCCATTCCATCCTCCATGCTCCTCGTCGATGGCACCAGCCTTCCTAATCCTACCTTTGCCCAGTTCTGGTAGCAAAAAATGTTGAGGCTGAAGAACATAGCACCATCCCATATACGGACGGAGGTCGAAAACGGCATATATTATAAAGTCATTTTGGTACGAGAATTGGAACCTCTCGATCCTCTTCTTGATTTCCTAGGTGATCATGGTCCCATACAACTTGGCGTGCCTAAGAACAACTTTGCTGCTCAGGATATATGGAAGTATATGAGTGATCCAATTACAAGGGTACCTTGGTACAAGCAGGTTTGGTTAAAAAAATAACACACCGAAGCGTAACTTATTTGTTGGCTATTATTCCGAGATCGTTGTCCTACTAAGGATATATTACTATCATGGGGTCTTCCAATAGACCCGCATTGCCTATTTTGCAGCCAAGCAATAGAAACAAGATATCATCTATTCTTTGAGTGCGACATGACGCAACAGTACCTAATCAGCAGCTTAAACCGATTGGGAATCGATCATCACCGGTTTGGTTGGGCATCACTCACGACATGGCTTTCTGGAGGCTAGTCCATATATGCCCTCCCAAGGGCAGCCAGACTAATTTTCCAAATTTTATATACTTAATTTGGAAAGAACGAAACTCTAGGTTGTACAATCAAATATTTCACTCGGAGGCTACCATGCCAAGGAGATCGACCGAACCTTCAAAGCTAAGATGGCGGCATTGCGGCTGAGTAACCCCGTACTCATTACCACAGTCCTATGTACTTGGTTTTCACATTCTCCTTAATTCATCATGTTGAGTAGATCGCTTGCGCTATCCTTACTAAGGGATTAACTTTCCATAGATACTTTTGTAAAGCTTTTATTAATGAAATATATAACCTTTACAAAAAAAAAAAACTACAACAATATCAATGGCTAGATGTAGGGGTGGGCGTTTCAGATCGGAATTTTAGCAGTTCGGTTCGATACCGGTTTATTCGGTATTCTAAAATTGGTACCAAATTAGTACCGTATATTATTTGATTCGGTTCAGTTATGATACGGTTCGGTTTTGATTTTTGTTAAAAAAAATTTATGTTATCTTAAAAAAATTTCGGTTTTTTGGTAGTTTTATAAAGTTTTGAATAAGAAAAATTGCTTACATGGTAGAGGTCGAGGCATAAAACCAAATTGGTTGACATAAATGGATGTGTATTAGGTAGAGGTTGTTCCACAATCCATTTTCAGAAGTTCATGGTGTGACACATGAAATTGATCCTTCTATAATTTGCATAATTATAGTTGTCTTTCTTATTTTTAAAAATAGAGACTAAAGTGTTTCGTCTCCACTCATTTGTCATCTTCCTCGATACTAAGTTCTTATTAAACGATCTAGTAAGCCAATTTACTTCCATCTCTTCTAACCACTTCCATACTTCGATAAGAATATCACGTGTATCTTTACCTATTTTCATCTATTTTAATGTGTTTTTCACCTCAATACATATAATCTTTCTTGTATAGTTTATCTTTTTCTCATACTTATGTTGTTGTTGTATAGTTCGTCCAAAATGTCGTCATCCCTAATTAGCCTGTTACATTCTCTCTGTGATATATCTAAATACATCCAAGCTTTAGTTTTTTTTTCCTTTCTCTCGCCCTAACTAACATATATATATATATATATATATATATATATATATATATATATCTTCTCATTCTATTATTCTAAACTTTTCATAAATCTTCTCAAACACATTTTCCTTTATTTGGCTAACCACATTCTTCATCTATCCAACTTATATTGTTCATATATGTCATTTGATTTACATTTTCGATAATTTTTTATACAACTTCTTATTCTTTATAATCTTCTGCACTTCTTCACTTTATCCATATCCTTTTAACTTCCTAAATACATCTCTAATGATTATCTTGATACATTTTTATCAAAAGAAACAAATTATCCAACTCACATCCCTAGTACCAAAGGAATCTTTCTCTTCTTCTCTAATGTCTTGGTGAAAAATATTTCCTTTTCTATATTATTTAGCTTCATTTTCTTCGATTTTTTTCCTTTTTTTCCTTTTCATTGTTTTATTTTCTATTTTCTATTTGTTTTCGGTTTTTATTTATTTTTTTTCCTTTTTCTCTTTTTTTTTTCCTTCGCTTTTCTTTTTTTCCTTTCTTTGGTCTTCTACACTTTATATATTGGCCCTCCCAACACTTTTCACCTTCACAAACCTTTACACATACACGCATAATATACAAAGAGAGAGAGTAGCCATGGATGTGGAGCAAGTTCTTCACATGAACGGAGGAAATGGTGAGACAAGCTATGCCAAGAATTCCACCGTTCAGGTTACATATTTTTTGCTCCATCATAACTTTTTTTTTTTAATAATCCCAAAGTTCATCGAAATTTTGATCCAACTACATCTTTTAAAAAATTGGAGAAGGCCATGTACATGTACCTCCCCAATTCGAAAGTCAAACATGGATTGGAAAGGATATTTGATCCATTCCTTACCAGTTGAACCACGCAATCTTAAATTTCCATCATAACTTGCATGCATAATATACAACTTATAATCTACCATTCTTCGTTTCAACAAAGCTCACCGAGAGTATGTAATTCTTCATGATTTTTCTTGACTCGAGAGAGCAATCATACCGAAGATTTCATTATTACAAGCCTTATAAGGAGAGTTTTTGAAATATAGATATGTTAATATTTCTTACCATTGAAATTATAGGCCAGACCGGAAAAACCCAAAAACATAAAAATCAAGTATCTACAAATTCTTCGATGATAAGGAAGAAACAAAAAACTTTATTTAAAAGCATCGATATATTATAACCAACATCTTGTGAAAGTACATTGTTAAAGGTTTTTGTACTATAATGTACATGATAATATATATATATATATATATATATATATATATAAAACTTAGTACGTTAAATCCTGCACATACATAATCACTACAGTATACCCTTGTATATGTTGTAGAGCAACGTAATCTCAATTGCGAAATCGGTAACCGACGAGGCCTTGCAAAAGCTGATGAGCAACACGGTCATGGGCAGCATTGGAATCGCCGATCTCGGCTGTTCCTCTGGCCCCAACAGCCTTCTCCCGGTTTCGAACATCATCGACACGATCCATGCCATGTGTCGCGATGCCAACACTCCGATGCCCGAACTCAGGGTCTCCCTCAACGATCTCCCGACCAACGACTTCAACTACATTTTCGGATCGTTGTCTGAGTTTCACGACAAGCTCAAGAGGGGCAAGGGCTCCGGTTTCGGACCGTGTTTTGTCTCTGCCGTGGCAGGTTCGTTCTACGGCCGATTGTTCCCTCGACGGAGCCTTCACTTCGTTCACTCTTCCTCTAGTCTCCATTGGTTATCTCAAGTGAGTATTTAATTTCTACATGTGATTGAGTAAGATGTTGTTTTCCGTTTCATAATGTGGGATATTAGAGCTTTTGTTCGATCTTACCTTATAACCCTGTTTGACATTTATTTCATAATGTGGTTATAGATACCGTTTTATTCAAACCTAAACAATAAACACGTTTGAATCTCGGCATTTCATGATAAATAAATCGTGTGGTATATATGCTATGTCGGTCTTATATATTAAAACGATATATCTTCGCATAAATGAATTTTTATTATATTCTCCATAGAGACAGATTCGTTTAGTATATATGCATGCATAGTTTGTCGTGTATATGTTGAAAAATGAAGGCATTTTAAGACAAAAAGACATCGATAAGTTGCCAAAATCATGTTGTTCTATCTTTTGAGTGATCATTTGTTCGAGAGAATCTTTCTTGTTCCAAAAAAAGCAAATAAACGAGAGACTTGTGGTTCGTATTCCACGTTATTTTGGTACATTATATAGTCCATTTTTGTGTAGCAAAACAAAACAGGCTTGACATTTTTGCTCATATTACATGCATGTGAATAATATAACGCGTATACTTGTATCCCAAAAAAAATATGGAATTGTTGGACCGCAACATTTTATAACCCTACTCGACATTTATTTTAACTTAAGATCCCATTTATTTTTTGGGTAACCGGGTATCCTGCGTCGAGATCCAAACTAATCTCGGGACCGAATGCAAGTCATGGGTAATCGGGTGTATATAATATGATGTAATCTTTTTCAAATGTTTTTTCAGGTTCCGACCGATCTAGGGAACAAGAATGGTACGGAGGCTATAACAAACAAGGGGAAGCTTTACATATCGAAGACAAGCCCTCAAAGTGTATTGAAGGCATATGCTTTTCAATTCCACAATGACTTCTTTGAGTTTCTTCGATCGCGTTCGGAAGAGTTAGTCCCGGGAGGCCGAATGGTGTTGTCATTCATGGGAAGAAACACTTCCGATCCGACAGCCGAAGAGAGTGGTTGGGAACTCATGGCACAAGCCCTTATGGATATGGCCAAAGAGGTAGAAATCCTTGAAAGTATCCTAGAAGATTATAATCATCTTTGATATTTATAGAGAGCAGTCTACGAGATAATTTAAATATTACGTACTAAACCCGATTCTTTATCACTTCGAACCCTCTTAGTGAATCTTTCCAATGTCGTCTCATCCCGCAGGGTATCATCGAAGAGGAAAAGATCGATACTTTCAACGCTCCTTACTACGCTCCGTGGTCTGAAGAGGTGAAAATGGAGGTAGAGACAGAAGGGTCGTTCGCGATAGATCGTCTTGAGACAATGGAGATCGACTGGGAAGGTTTTGTCGTTGAAAAGAGTTACAAGAACAAATCCGAATCCGAAGCGTTTTCCAGCGGGCGACGGGTGGCTAATACCGTACGGGCTGTCGTTGAATCGATGTTACAATCTCATTTCGGTGGCAATGTGATGGACGAATTGTTTCAGAGGTTCGGAGGCATCGTTGGAGACTACATCTACAAGAGGACGGCAAGATTCTGCAACATAACTCTCTCACTTGTTAGAAAGGCTTAATTGCTATATATCGTTAAATTGAAAAAACAAACAATAATAAATTGCGAATATTTGAATTTTATAATAATTATTTGTTATGGGCCGATTACATGGCTTTAAGATGTATCCTTTGGTTGAAGGTTTCAAATGTACTGTTCTTTTCCATAGACTTATATCATGTCATAAAGATATTAAGTTAAATAAATACTTTTATTGGAGAGAAAAATCCAAATCATGATAAAAACTTTTTTTTTATCTTTGCATCATATTTATATGTATCACATCGTTGAGTTGATCATATAAATAAACTAGAAAATTATCAACTATTTTACCTATACAAAAGATCATATATTTTAAATTTAATTATAAAAATTCATAACTATTAATTTTGATTACAAGAACATCAACTATGTAACTTATTCGAAAACAATGTTTGGTTTTAGGTCCGAGGTCCGAGGTCCGAAGTTCGACCTGAGACCCTGAAAACCGACCCGACCCTTCCAAAAAATGTCGCGCTTCGGACCTAAGTTTTTTTACCTGAAAAAAATTGGGATATTGGATCATCCCAATTGGATAGACTCAATTCGGACTTCAGACCACCCCGAAAACCTGATTTTTTTTTTAAAAAAATAATTGTAAATAAAAAGAAAATATAAAATTATAAAAAAATTTAATGGGCCGGACCGATACAATCCGAACGCGAAACTTATAGGCCGGGTTTCAAACTTGGTTATATATGCAGAAAAAAACGAGCTTATAACTATAGGCGATTTGACGTGTTGTTGACTTTCTTATTCTACTTATTTTTATATTTAGTATATATTGTATTTTTTATTTTTATATTATTTATTATTATTATTATTAGAAATGTATTTATAATTATTTTTATTCTATTTAATTATACACGTCTATTAACTTTTTTTAATTCCGATCAGGTTTTTATTTAAAATTTAAAAGTTGGGTGAATTTATATTTATTTTGGAAGTTCCAAAAGTTCAATATTAATAAAATATTTATCTCAAATTTTGATATATATATTTTTTTAATTTATCCTTAAATAAGATATCTTTCAATTTATGTTTATTCTTGCTCGCTATGAGAAACATTTTTTTTTTTTTGGTAAAATATGAGAAACATCGAATCCGAAACAATCCGAGGTGGGAGACCCACCTAGACGACAATTTTTTCTTTTTTAAAGATTTTTTGTTGCACAGAAAAGCAAAGTATTGGTAGTTGATATTATTGTTATAATTATTATTAATTTTACTAAAAAATATATGATTCAATGAATAGAAATGTATACGAAGAGTCTCCAAAGGTGGAGCCAATACAAGACCATCGAAGAGGAACGTGACGTGGGAGTGTCTGAAAGTGAGGATTGTCGGTACGTACCCACTTGCCGCTCGGCTCAGCAAGTGGAACCATTTTAATCATGTAGGGCATTAGCCCCACACCACACACTACACTTGTACGGGTAGCTTGAAAAATACATCCCATATTTGCCAGTTTAAATGTGTAGTTCAGAAAAATTGGATTTACACTTCGACATTTATGTATATGTATATATATATATGTGTATATCGTTATGTATTATATATTGTAATTTTTTTATTTATAAATTTTTTTTTTAATTGTAATTATTTTTAATTTTTTATTAATTTCATATATGACTTAGTGGATGACCTCTTAAAAAGTCAAAATCACGTCAGATCTACCGTGTCTCAATTTAATATTGTTTAACATCGATAATTTTTTTATCAAAAAATTAAAAATTTAATATTTTTTTGTCAACTCAAAGAATTCATATTTATTTTGGAGGTTTGAAAAGTTCAAAATTAATATTTCAGTTATTTCAAAAATATGTAAGTTTTTGAAATTTTTTATTATCACTTTATAACTAATTTTTTTATAGATCGAAAAAACCCAATAATAAGAAACCCAACCATATACATGTTATTTCGTGGCTTAAGATCTTTATATAAATAATATAATGATTAATGATAATTTTACAATAATTTAATTTTGCTAATATTTTTTTCTATCTTAAACAAAAATTCGATATCATTTTTTATAACAGTTATATCAATAAATTTTATAAAGATATATCTATTCTTATAGAAAAACTCCATGAAACACGAATTTAATATAAATTTCCTTTTCCGATCATAATATAAAAATTTAGTGGTTAATTAACATTTTTTAAGAGCATGGATTGCTAGTTAGACCAAATTTATTTTGCCGTAAATTTGAATTTATTATGGAAGAATTTGTAATTACATTACATCAACCAATCCGGACAAAATAAATAGTTCATTATAGGCAGAAAAGCAATACAGTGTTTGTATTCATTTGATTCTTTAGTCTAAAAGAAAATCATGACGTGGAAAATGGATCGAAGCCCACTCACTTAAAACGTATAAAAAAAATATTGATATTATAAAAGAATATTATTTAAACGGTAGAATATCTTGTATAAAAGCGTTCACTTTGACCCTATTTGAAAATTATTTTTGCAAAGAAAAAGGTTTAAAAAATGATCAGCCTTTTGCATCTTCTTCATCTTTGCCTTTGCCTCTGCAAGTTTCTTCTCGTTTGCATTCTGATCATAACCCTTCGAAAGATATTCCAAATCCGAAGCGAAGGCCGATCAAAATCGACGGCTGAGATTCCTCCGGGAAGCGACGGTTTCCCGGTGATCGGAGAGACACTTCAGTTCATGTTCTCCGCCAACAGCGGCAAAGGTTTCTACGAGTTCGTCCGAACACGACATCTCAAGTAAACAAACACAGTATATTTTTGTTATTGACATTTTTCTCTGCATATTATTGGACACGCTTTTGTTTTATTATATGATACTTTATGAATATAATTAATGGTTTGATTATAGGTACGGATATTGCTTCAGGACAAATTTATTCGGAGAGACGCACGTGTTTGTATCCACGACCGAGTCGGCTCGGGCGGTTCTGAACAACGAGTCGAACAGGTTCACGAAACGGTACATTAAATCAATTGCTGAGTTGGTCGGCGATCAGAGCCTCCTTTGTGCTCCTCATCATCATCATAAGATTCTCCGTAGCCGTCTGATCAACCTGTTCTCTACCAAATCAACGGCTCTTATGATCAGAAGCTTTGATGAGATTGTCATCGACAGTCTTAGAGGATGGGAGCACCGTCGTACAGTGGTCCTCCTCACAGAGTTGCTAAAGGTAACGTTGAAACGCAGCGTTTTGAGCATCTACAATTTGGGCTCGTATTTTGGGTCTGGGCGCCCAGATCAGAAAGCCCATTTGAGAAGTTCATCATCTTGCATAAATATAAAATACGCTAACTTATTTTTCAAACAAATATATACCATCGATGACGGTTATTTTTCAGTGAAGTGAATCTGCATGGATATATACGTTCCATGAAAAAACTTTACGTGTTTGTAATCACGTTTTAAATTTCGATCAAATCCGATGCAAACAATTTAATTAAGTTCTTGAATTGAGATAGCTTTTAGAGTTTTTAGATTCTAAAAACTCAAAAAATTGACAATTAAGTTTTTTAAATTTAGTTTTTGCAAAACTACTTTATAGAAAAAATAGAACTAAAAACCAAAAGCTATCTTTTTTTGGATTTACAAATCTATGAAAACCAAAAACCAAAACCAAAACCAAAAACTAAAATCTAAAAACAAAAAAACAAATGCAAAAACTCAAAATAAAAACTCCATCCATTCCATACCTAAATGTTAATCAGGTCATTCCAAGATAAAAGGGATTTAGATAAAGTGGCGGTGCAGTAGCGTAGAAGTACAAAGTGTTTTCCCACGTCCACGGTTCGAACTCCACCCGACATCACCAATTATATATATAAAAAAGATATAAGGGATTTAGATATAACTTTTTTAGAATCAACACTTAATTATTATAAATAGCATATTAACGACTATTCACCTAGAATACTATATATTAAATTATAAATATTTCTATGCACCAATAGTATATCAACTGATTTACCTCTCATGCGTGTGTTACTGGTTCGTGCGTGTGGGCTTGAGTTTACTTGATCAACACACCCAAAGGATAGCAGTCGGGGTTTCCAATGTATCCAAAAAAAATAACATATTCTAACCAAAAAAACATATTAACGACTATTCACCTAGAATACTATATATTAAATTATAAATATTTCTATGCACCAATAGTATATCAATTTTTTTTTACATTGTTCAAAATTAAATTAAAAATTTGCGTCACAATTTGAATCACTTTTTCAGTGTTTTCTTGTATTATTCAAAATTCAAAATAAATAAGTATTTTTTGCAAAAACATTACTTTTCATTCAAAATCTTTTTATTTTTTTCTTTTAAAAAATCCAACAATATGATGATTTTGATGATCCCATGTAGTTGACATTCAAAGCAATGTGCAAGATGCTAGTGAGTTTGGAAGATGAAGAACATATGAGTCTGTTGCAACATGATGTGGCTCTTGTTTGTGAAGCTATGCTGGCTTTTCCACTCAAGCTACCTTGGACTAGATTCAACAGGGGCATCAAGGTAATTTAATGTACAATTTTTAATTCAATCAATAATGGTATGTGAATTATTTCTTTTGTTATATTTAACCTTCTATGAGAGAATATGATTTTAGAATTGATTTTGAATAAATTAATGGATATTAATGTGTAAAATCTCGTAAATTTGTTAAAATTCCGCATAAATAATATACCAATTATTTAAAAATATTATATAAATAGACAAAATTTCAAAATATTACTAGATTTATATAAATAAAGACGATATTGAAATATATGTGATTGTCATTGTAACTTTTAAAATATTTGTTGTAACTTGCTATCAACATTTAACGAAATCTCTCAATTTCTCGCACTACCGAACTTAACTCAATTTCCGAATCCGGATAAACAACAACTCACACAAAATAAAAATAAACAATGCTCAATGATTTACGAATTCAGATCAAACAGTGTGTTTGATTCTACTGTTGGGTTTCACTACGGGTTCATAACATGCGAGTTCATCAAAATGAGCTAGGGTTGGTTCTTACGTTTCATGCAATGGAAGAAAAAAAAATCTAAAGGGAAAACCAACATGCAAAACCCGAAGAACGTGTATATCACTATAGAAAACGAAAACTACCTCTTGCTTGAAGAACTTGAAATAACAATCGATCCGGGACCTATCTCAATCACCTAGAGTTGAAGGTACAGTTCATCTACACGTATCGACACCGATGAGAAGCTTCCAAGTCTTTGAAACTGATCTGCTATGATATGTGAAGAGTTTAGTGTTTCAGAGACTCATGATCGAATCCCAAGAGCTAGAACACTAAGAAAACGACTTCTTTGGGTTTTTAAATATCCCTACGAGTTCTGGAATGAAAAGTTGTGTTTGGACGACTTTTTCCAAACTTATTCATATATAACCCTAAAACCGAAAATTGAAAATTTTTCCGAAACTTAGTCCGGGCAGACCAGAAATTGGTAACAGCTCACGCGTTCTGAGTGGACTGCATGTTTGGTCTGCCAGCCTGGACTGACTCATCTGATTCTGGCAGATCGAAACCTTGGTCGGTTCGATCCTGCGGTCTGGCCCGGACTGGACCATTATAGTCCATCGGGACTGACGTGGATAGATTGACACGGACTGAACTTCGGTCTGGATTAGATCTTATTCGGTCCGGACTAAACTTGTCTTGATCTTTTTTTGTTCATCTCTTACATGATTCTTGGTCTGGTTTGGGCTCTGCTTGGTCTGGTCCGATCCAAACTCCTGAGAACACATTCTGACACGCAACAAGTTAATCTGACAACCAGTTTCAATAACTCCAGTACCATCTTTCGATTTTTCACATATAATTTCATCCCTAGTGGTGTGTGACCCTATAGATCCATTCGCAATAGTAGTGACTTTGGGAACTATTCCTGAACGACAAATCATGATTAGCCTCTAACAATACGTCATGACCACCCATGTTGAATTGTGTTATAGGTGATCTAAGGAAGGCAGTAACAATGCGAGTTCTGATCCTTTGTCTCGCGATATCATATGTTAAACAAGAGTATGAAGTCAATCACCTTTCAAGTTCAACCTATTTCTCGTCTGACAAATCGACTGACAGAATTGATGAACGATTCATCATAGAACGATCACACATTTTCACAATCTGATTTCTACGAGGGGTCCATCGATATCTCCTCTATTATGGAGGTGATAAATCATGTCTTGACTGTCAATTATTTCCACATAACTCTTAAACGTATCTGATCAACGTCGATCATTCGGTTAAAGACGACGTTTGACGCAGTCAAGACATGTTATTCCTTATGTTAGATACTCTAGACATCTCAGGTCTGAGGATCTAAGAATGAACCGCTAGATGAGATTTTGTAACACCCCGAATTTCGGTAAAATTAATAAATAAGCATAAACCGGGGTGAGACGAATTGGTAATTCAGATGAACTAAAACCTAATTTGATCATACCATTCTCTCACTCTCTCGCCATTTACTCCATTGGTCTCTCGCCCTCAGATCTAACGTATATCGCCTTATAACTGGTTAAAAGGATCAAGAACAACACGAATGCTTCATTTTCTTACTTTCTTGATTATCATCGGTTTGAGACCAAGTTTTTCTCTTGTCTTTCTATTTTTTTTATTCTACATAGTTCACATTGAATTTTGGAAAAAATTCATAACATCTCGTTTACGAGACTCTTTCTCGATACGAAGATGTCGTAAAAGCTTTTCCACTGTAAAATTCTCGATCATGTGTTGAAGCTTCTTCCGATAATCATTCTAAGTAGAATGCAATTTGGAGATAATGGCTCCCGCATGTAACGTCTCGAGAATCACAACTTTATAGTCACTAAATCTTTGCACAAGAACTTGTAGTTCAAGAACATGATTAATGAGGGGTTGAGAATCGAGAAATTTGAGTTCAAAATATTTTCACACGAGAAATTTATCGGTACCTTGTCTCTCGTTATTATATTTCTTCTCCAAAACTTTTCGAATCTCCACCAGGAGTTGATCAACATGTAAAGATCATACAACTTATCAGAGATGGTGTTGAGGATATGTCCTCGATATGTGAACTCATCAGCTTGCCATTTCTTCTTTGATTCAACTATCTTTGTGATATCATTAGAAGAGGCATCCGAGGTGGGTTCCTCCACGGATTTGGTGTCAGGATCCAAGATGTATGCAACCTGAAGAACAATGAGAAAGAAGAACAATTTAATCATCCACCGATTAAACTTTGTTCCATCAAAATGATTGAGCTTCACAAACACTTGGTTCATAACATTGTATGTATTTGAAGCCTCCGAAGTCATCTTGTTAAAAATATACTCTTTGATTGTTATGAATGATGAGTGAAAAAATAGCTTCGGAGAAGGAAAAAATCGACTAACACATACAGATGAACACGAAGTTGTGAAAAATCTCGGGGCATGGCTTAAATGCTCTCTAAAGACTATATTTAACCCTATACAAAGTTGCTTCGGTTAAATGAAAAGTACTTTCGGGATACAACAAGACTTATGTTTTTTCCCAAAAAGTACAACTCGGAAAAAACTTTTACTTTTACTCCTTTTTTTTTTTAGGTAGATGATCGATTCTTGATGATACATGTGGTTTTATTTCATGGTGTTATTTGGTATAAATGTGGTTTTATTTTAAAAGGTAACATATTCTTCGATGTATTTATATTAAAAATTATATATTTGTTTGGAAATTAAACAATTTTATTCCTTTATATTTGATTTGTTTCTAATAATAATAGAAAGATGTTAAATTAAGCAGGCAAGAGGGAGAGTGATGAAGGTGTTGGAGAGGATAATTAGGGAAAGGAGAAGTGGAAGTCACCATCACGAGGATTTTCTGCAACATCTTCTCACTAATAATTCTGGTCAGGCCACTCGGTTGTCTGAGGCAGAGATTAAGGACAACATCTTGACCATGATTATTGCAGGTTTGATTACCATTTTTATCTGTTCGAATTTCTGAATTTGAGTTTTAGGGACAAAGTTGGAATATTAGTGGTGTCAATCGGACCGACCCATCCCAATCAGGCCCAAGCCCACACTTAATTCGAGGGTTTCGGACTCGGATCGACCTACTTTTTTCGGGTCTATAGAACCAAATCCGAAGTCCGACCCTATAAGTTTCAGATTCGGATTAGGTCTATCCGGATCGGACCGACCCACTTAATTCTTTTGTAATTTTATTGTTTTTCTTTTTTATAATTATTTTTTTCAAAAAAAAATTCAGGATTTCGGGTCGGTCCGAATCAGGATGCATGAATTGAGTCCGACCCTAAAGTTCGATTTTTTCAGACAAAAAAATTAGATCCGGAGTCTGACATTTTTTGAATGGGTTCAGACCGAACTTCGAGTATCGGACCTAAATTGACATCCCTAATTGGAATCTCAAAAATTCCAAAGAGTGACTAATGAGATTTTGGCACCAGTCAAATGTTTTGGCACCAGAAAATAATACTGTTCAAATACATAGATTGAAAATGACCAAATTAGTTCACTAGTTTTATGTAAGAATAAGGGTGTAAATTTATTATTAAAAAAAAAAGAATAAGGGTGTAAATTTCTGATTTCAACTGTTTTCCCAAATTTTTCAATTTTATAAAAAAATTATAGCCGTTAATTTTTATATATTTTTTTTGTTTCATAATTTTCACCATGTTTTTTATTTAATCAATCGACTAATGATAGAAAAAAGGAAATACAGGGCAAGACACTACAGCAAGTGCCCTAACATGGATGGTGAAGTACCTCGGAGAGAATCAGAAGGTTTTGGATATTCTTACCGTAAGGAAAATAATTCCTTTTTTGTTTTATTTTTTTTCTCTTTAATCTCATTGGAAACAAATACTGAATTTATTTTTGGAAATTAAATGGGTTATTAACAGGAGGAACAACTTCAAATTTCCAAGAAATCATCAGATAAACCATTTCTTAGTGTAGAAGATCTTAGTAAGATGTCATATGCTTCAAAGGTAATTATAAAAATACGCTAATTAAACTTATACCCAATTAATATTTCTAATCTCGGGATCGATAACAAGTTATGTGCGATCTCCCTTTCAAACTTGAGATTCAAACTCGAGAGGAAGTAAACGTTTTGTATTTCCATTTTAGCGGTTGAGCTAATAAAATTAGGTTAATATTTTATTTTATATTAATTTATGGAAACAGATGGCAAAGGAATCATTAAGAATGGCTTCGGTAGTGCCTTGGTTCCCAAGATTAGCACTGCAAGACTGTGAGATAGAAGGTTTGCTTACATTTTCCCAAATGATATATTTATATAATATTTTTACAGAATTTGTTTTATGAGACCTTTTGCAAATGGCTGTCCTTTTGTTTTTAACAAACTGTTTTTCGTTGGTAAAGGATACATGATTAAGAAAGGGTGGAATATAAACATTGATGCAAGATCAATTCATCTTGATCCTAATGTGTACAATGACCCTCACATATTCAACCCTTCAAGGTTTGATGTAAGTCCAGAGAAAATATGTTTGGGCAATATATATATATATATATATATACAAGTGTTGTGCTGATTATAAATGTTTTTGAATAGGAAGAGGATGCAAAATCAAACAGCTTCTTGGCATTTGGGATGGGAGGAAGAACATGCCTTGGACATACCATGGCCAAAGCAATGATCTTTGTGTTTCTCCACAGATTTGTCACCACTTACAGGTTGGTATATATATGATTCCCGTTTGTTATTTATTACATAAAACTAATAATAATAAACATTTTCTGTACTCAAGATTGGGTGACTTTATTGTTGAGGGATGAAACAAAACTCTTTTCAATAATGGTATGTGAATTATTTCTTTTGTTATATTTAACCTTCTATGAGAGAATCTTTCGGTAGATGTAGTTGGACCAAAAACTCGATGAATTTCCAGATTATCAAAAAATTAAATAAATAAATAAACATTTTCTATAAAACCCTAATAAAAGTCGTTTGAATAAAAATCCAATATATATATATATATATATATATATATAGATGGCTTTACTGCATTTAAGGGATTATAATCAAATCTACTGAATTACATTCAAACTCGTAATTAAAACCCTAAAACTGAACATGACCGTACCCTTCGCAAATATTGAACTAATGACCAATAAATTTTGGAATTAAACCGTATCGTTCCAATACCAATTTATACCCTAAACCCTAAACATGACCAATAAATTTGTTTTGAAATTTTTTTTGGTGTATGGTTGTTGGAGGTGGGAAGTGGTGGACAAAGACCCAACCATCGAGAAGTGGACTATCACTATAGAAAACGAAAACTACCTCTTGCTTGAAGAACTTGAAATAACAATAGCCCCTCTTCGACCCAAACATGTCCCCATCCCATGGATTTTATTTTATTGGAATTTTTCTTTTTTCTTTTTGCTCATCTGTTAATTAGATCTACGCATGTGTATATATGTAATGTAAAGGTGCAATGCCATAAAAACATGCAAAATTAGAAAATGGATGATGTGCAAAATGAAAGGAACAAACATGTAAAAGTAGAACTCATTAATTAGTTCTGAATTACGTGATTGTAATATTATTTCTAATCTTGTCTTGTGATGGTTTGTCATGTTGATATAAATTTAATTAAATTCAAAATATAAATCAATTATATTGAATCCAAAATATATTTTGTTCAATAGCATTGGTCCTAGTATGCCATGACATCTTTATATATGGGTTATGACATTTTGTTATCTAGTTAAAATATTAAAAAAAAAAAAATAAGTATACGGTGCAAATTGAATTATTTACAATTATTTATTTATTGCGGAAAAATAAACATTATTTGTATTTTTTTTTGTAAAGATTTTTACAATACATAAAATATAACGTTTGGATTTCTTTTAAGAAAATTAATTAAAGATTAGTTGATTAAATTAAAAATTTAGTAAAACATTGTTATTTTCGTAAACATTTTTTAACACCAAATAAATGTTTAAAACAAATTTAAAAGATCAAAAAAATAAAAAAAATTGAATTGTAAATTTTTAATTTTTTTCTCTTTCTCTCTACTATTATTTGTCTTCTTTTTTTTTCAATTTCTTTTTATCTTTCTCTTTTTTTTTCTTCTTTTAATTTTCTCTTTTTTCCTCTCTTTTATTGTTCTCTCTTTCACTAGCTCTCCCCATTATCGATCCCATCACCATAATATTTAACCGCCGATATTTTTCTATTTTTTCATCTTATTATTATTATTATTATCTACGTTATGGATCATTCGGACTATATTTGTGAAACACAATAAAAAAATTATGATTCTAAGAACAATGGGTTTGATTTAAATTGGAATATCAAGTGAAATTTGAATTAAATGAGATTAGAAATATCCAATAGAGGTGACCATTTAGGTTATTAACCGAATAACCGAACCGAACCGAATAAGAGCGGAGCGGTTATTTACTTAATAACCAAGCGGTTGAGGAAGTTAAATAACCGTTCGTATTCGGTTCGGTTCGGTTAATAACCGAATAACTACGGTTAACCGAACAGTTAACCGAACAGTTATTAGATTTTTTTAATGTTTTAACTTTTACCTTCATTATTATTAGTGTTATTTTTATAGTTCAGTTTTACCCTTATGTATTTCACCTAATAAACTATAAAATTTAATGTTTTTAACTTTTATCCTAGTTATTGAAGTTTTGTAATTTTTTTGGAGGATTAATCATTTTGTAGATTTATATGGATAGATATTTTGAAGTTTGTATAGGATTAATATTCTTTTTTTTTAAAAATATATCATAATCGAAACCGAACCGATCTAAAACCGAACCGAATAAACCGAAAAATTTAACCATTTGGTTATAATTTTATTATGCAAAAAGTTCCGAACCGAAATTCGGTTAATAACCGAATAACCGCAGTTAACCGAACGGTTATTGAATTTTTTAAATATTTTAATTTTTACCCTCATTATTATTAATATTATTTTTTTATATTCCACTTTTAACCTTATATATTTCTCTAATAAACCATAAAATGTAATGTTTTTAACTTTTATTCTAATTATTGAAGTTTTTAGATTTTTTTTTTTATAATTTTATTACATGATTAATCATTTTGTGCATTTATTTGAATAGATATTTTAAAGTTTATGTAGGATTAATAATTTTTTTTTCAAAATATATCATAACCGAACCGATCTAAAACCGAACCGAATAAACTGAAAAATATAACCGTTTGGTTATAATTTTATTATACAAAAACCGAACCGAACCGAAACCGAACGGAACCGAACCGATTAAATCTATATAACCGTTTGGATATGATTTTTTTATAATCGAAATAATCGAACCCGAAATAACCGAATCGAAAACCGAACCGAAACTCGAAATGGTCATCCCTAATCCACAAGGTTGTGAGTTCGAAATCCATCATGCTGAACTCCCCCTTAAACCTGTCAATTTCGGCTGATTAATCTGATTTACTGACTACCGCAGATGCAGGATCGAAAAGTTTACTGTCGACATACCGACTATCCAATCTTAGAACTGGATCAGCCGAAATCCAACCCGAAAGACCTATGGCGGATTCCCACCGTTATAAAAAAAAAAATATAGCATAAAATCTCAATTTCTTTCTTTCTTTCGTTTTGACTTCCCATTTTTCTCCAAAAACCAGTGATAATATATACAAAAACAAACATATATATATATATATACATACACATACACAATTACAGAGGGAGGTAAAATCAAATAACTTCAGCTCTCTAATGTCCATTTCTTACCAAAAAAAAACTGAAACACATCCCCGAAACTGCCCATCCCACATAAAATAACGCATACAAGTTTGGTAAACACAAACCATTTGCCACCGTTGGACCAAAACTAAGTGATTAGAGGCGAATAATCCCCGAGATTAGGCGCTAATCGCGCTGTTATTATCGACATCGTGCGATTTTCCCACGTGGGCAACGTCGAACTGAGGAACGTAGTTGTTCGGTCGTCCCTCGGCCTCCCTTGGCTCGTTCAAAAACGCCCAGCTGCTTCGTCTCCACCTGTGGAATTTCCGTATTTATATAATTAAACACCAATTTTTATTCTCTAATTCAATTCAAATCCCGATACGGATTTAGTAACTCTAAAATAAAATTTAATATTTACCATCCTTTTGTATTGTTCTGTTTCTCAGATGCTCCTTCGGCCGTGTTATCTTGCGCCTCTTTCCTCTCGACATCTTCCTGTGAATCGATTTAATTTAATAGGTTCAAAAATTCAGAAAATCAAAATAAATAAATAAATAAAAATATTATGATTAGGATTAAGAAATCATCAGAATAGATATAATTCATGAATAAATTTAGAGCCGGAGACATTATCAAGTAACTTGGAGATTGCTTGGAGATGTTCTTCTTCAGTCTTCTTCTTTAACCTCCAAAAAGCTTCGATTTCTTCTTTAGTAAATGATTTGGTCCTTTTCACTGAATTTAACCATCAAGTGAAACCATTAAATTCCATCAACTAGTATGAATTTCGTATCGTATAATACGATAATTTTTCAAATTTGTAATCTTGTACATAGTAAATAAGTAAATAAATTACCTGTCTTAGGATCATCTACCGGGGAATCCCATCCTGCCATTAGAGAACCCATTTCCTTGATTTTTATGAATACTATGTTAGCGGAATGATATACATCACCTATATATATATATAGTCCTCTCGTCCTTATCTAAAGTCAATTAAATAATAATTTCACGAGGTCGGTCCGACTTGTCTTTATTATTTTTTGAAAGACGATACAAAATCAATCCAATCCAACTTTATGGTTCTGGATAAATCCAGCAGCCCACAGAATTAAATGGCGGATTTGATTAAATTATTCAAAATCATATGTTTGTTAATGGAATTTAATTATATAATGTGAAAAAATATTTATTCTATGTAATATTTCGTCAATTGAGTGTTTTTTAACGGCAGGAAGATTTTTGATAGATAATAAAATTACAGAATCAAAACATTATGAGAAAGAGATACGTGGAAATTTTTTGTCTTGTAATGGACGATTCGTGTCGAAGGGGCGGAGAAGATAATCATGGAAACAAAATTGTGAGAGATGAATACTGCCAAATCAGTGGCGAATGGTTCCAAGGACTGGTTATATAGCATGTGATAATATTTTGGAGACATAAAATCAAATTACACTGAATAATAATATATAATAATTTTTGGAATCAGTGGATTAAAATTTTTTATTTACAAGAGAAATCATTTCATAATACATGAATCTGTAAAAATAATTTAAATAAATATAGAATTTTAAAATTTATAATAATTTAATTTTACACATATATTTTTTTAAATCTAATAAATATTATATATAATTATTTTTTATTAAATTTATATTAATAAATGTTATAATAATATAATCAATAAAAAGGAATAACACTGCGTAGATCGTATTGAGAATAAAAATTCGAATATAGTCTGAGATGGTGTAGCAGATCAGTAAGCCCATCAGAGGTGATCTCCAATCTCATCCTGTGGACAGACATAATCTGGAAAGAACCAAACGACAGGACCTTCCGACACAGGTCGAGAATGATCCAAACTCGACCGCAGGATGCAAACCCTTCTGTCGGCAGCCGAGCTGAAAACCCCCACTTCGATCCATTGGTTGCTCGAGGACTGGTACGGAAACACGCAGGAAACGTCGTATGTTTTTTTTTATAATCCGAAACTTCACCGAATCTTTGATCCGATTACATCTCCCAGATGATCGGAGAAGTCCAGGTAACCCTTTCCACATTTGGATTTAAACGGGTGAGAACATGTTTTGCATGTTCTCTCATCAATAGACCACCTAACTTGGATGGGTGAAACGTCATATGTTGTGGTTTGCATTATTCACAGATTTATTTTTGCCCACTTTTACTCATAGAATCCCCATTTTTTTATATATTTTGTTCGTATATCTATTGAGTTGTAAAACCCATCTTTTTTTTGTTCAATACAAAATCATATTCGACCAAAAAAGACAAAACCTAAATTCTTGGTCGGACGGCTCGGTTTCACACTCGCGGTTATTATGGCGGCTTTGATGTGTGTGTGTGTACACACATGTCCGAACAATTCACTAGTCACAATTCTATGGTGACACAATTAGAAACTTACTCACAAAATCCCGAGTCAAACTTCTATCGCCTTCTGGATAAGGTTTCCATAAATGGCACGCATGGTTTTTTCTTTACATTCACACAGTTCTAAGCTCACTCATGTCCCCATTCAAAACTCCAGTGGACCATTCAAAGAATTCAAGATATGGACTCATTGATTAACTTCTCTATATAAACAGTTCTTCAGCTATGCAGAACCCAAACCGCAAACAGCATGGCTCCTTCTTGTTCTTCTTACACTCTCCTGCTCTTCCTCTGCTTCTCCGTCTTCCTCATCGCTTCTACTGGTATGAACACTTGGACTTCGATCTTTGTAATGCCCTGATTTGTATCTGATAATAGATAAATGGAAAACGCAGAGATGGTAACGGCGGAGGCGAGAGTTTGCGAGAGGAGAAGCAAGACATGGACGGGGTTCTGCGGCAATACCCGCGGCGCTTCGTCTCCACCTGTGGAATTTCCGTATTTATATAATTAAACACCAATTTTTATTCTCTAATTCAATTCAAATCCCGATACGGATTTAGTAACTCTAAAATAAAATTTAATATTTACCATCCTTTTGTATTGTTCTGTTTCTCAGATGCTCCTTCGGCCGTGTTATCTTGCGCCTCTTTCCTCTCGACATCTTCCTGTGAATCGATTTAATTTAATAGGTTCAAAAATTCAGAAAATCAAAATAAATAAATAAATAAAAATATTATGATTAGGATTAAGAAATCATCAGAATAGATATAATTCATGAATAAATTTAGAGCCGGAGACATTATCAAGTAACTTGGAGATTGCTTGGAGATGTTCTTCTTCAGTCTTCTTCTTTAACCTCCAAAAAGCTTCGATTTCTTCTTTAGTAAATGATTTGGTCCTTTTCACTGAATTTAACCATCAAGTGAAACCATTAAATTCCATCAACTAGTATGAATTTCGTATCGTATAATACGATTTTCCTGGGTTTGCGTGCTTTTGCTACTTCAGCTGCTGATCAAGAATCAGTCATGGGTTCCGTACAAGCAGAACCCCCCCCCACTCCCCCAACACAAAAAAAAAAACTCTATGAATAAGTTCTTAAACAAATCCTAGTAATAAGTTCTGTTATGTGCCTCGGCATCTACTTAAGAAGACTTTGCTTATAGCATAAACCCAGGCTCATGTCCAATCCCACACAAGGGTCGAAGTCTAAGGACACTACAATTACTTGTACTGATCATCGAGTTCATGCCACAAGTCCCAAACCCTAAAAAGTGCAGTGAAATTCTTAAAACCTATGAGAAATGCACATCCACCCTTGATTTGCATTATCCATAAACGGCGAGAAACAATGTTTCCGGTAGCTCTTTCCATTGAATTCATGTCGCTCGAAAACTTCACAAGCAACACACTTTCGACCAGCTTTCTACTTGTGCCATTTACCTGAACTCAAAGTCAAGATTATGGAGAGGAAAGAACCGATTTCTGTCACATACAACGGATCTTCGTGACATGTTTGGTGTTTGGTTCGATCACTAGCCTCTGTATTCATCAAAATTCATGCCACTCAAAACTTGACATGATACAAAATTTCAATCCCCCTTCTACTCATACATACCACCAATCCTTCCACAATTACAGTCTAGACCCTGTATATGTCTCACGTCAAATTCCACATTCCTTCCCATTTTCCACAACTTTCTCAGCAGCCAAACACATGTAAGAAGAGCATCATTTCTTTGCATTCGTAAACACACAACATACAATCATCAAACACCCTAACCAGTCAACTGTGGGTCACCAGAGAAGCAAATCAAGGGTTCCATCAAATCACTGGAAAAACAGACACTCCAAAATGGTACCTTTTTTCTCTCACTTCTTCTTTCCTTTTCCGGCACCTTTCTTCTTCGTCGGCAACACGATCTCTCCCTTAAGAACAGGAATCTGCATAATCTGCGTCAGACCCGCGTATTTCTTCCTGAACTTCTCCACTTGGTCGGCATCAGCAAGTAAAGCAGATCGGCTTCCCAGGTAAAACGGATGATTTCCCGACCATACGTCGACGACGTAGTCCTTCTTAGTTCCTCCGGTCGTCATCACCAGTTCTCCATTGCAGTACACCTTCGCGTCCTCGTAGAATTCAGGGTGCAAATCCTTCTTCCGACACGTTACGGGAATCACCCGAGTTCTCATCGAACTGCTCCTATCATTTGCCTTCGCCTTCACCGCCGCAATCCTCGGCTGTTTCACACGGAAAAGGGTAGCGAAGATCAGTGATTAGGGTATCAATCGAAGAAGAATACGAAGGGCAATTTCCAGCTTACCTTTCTGATGTGAAGAGAGGGAAGAGATGAATTGATTTGGAGAAATGAGTTCGGGAGAGAGACCGCCATTTTAGCTTCTGCAGCTCGGTGTGTGGTGGAGAAGAAGAGGAAGTGTTGGAGCGGATTCTCACGAAGGATAAGAAAAATGGGGAAGACGAAGTATTGGTTAATTTATTTCCATACCCCTCGAGGACTTGGAAATTTTCAACTTTGGGCCGATTGCAGACTTTGGGCCGAGGCCATTGAGGGTATATGTTGTCGCTTTCAAATAAAAATTAAAATTCAATTATCCACAGATCATATTATAAATACATTAAAAGGTATAACATTGGCTAATTATATTCATTCATAATAATTTCAAAAAAAATTAATTTTATATACTAATATATCTTTGGAAAATATTTTTTTAACTTTTCGTGATTTTGAATTCATTTTATATATCATCCACATGTAGATATTTTATAAAAAAATATGTTTTTTATATTTGAGAATTTTCTTACTTTTTTACTAATATCATGCAATTATATTTGTTTATTATTAAAAATTTCCAATTTATTTTTGTAAATCTCATTTTAAAGTCTGAAATTAATGTAGTCAATAATAATAGGTATAATAAAATAATGTTCTAAACATATTTATAATCTCATTTTAAAGTGAATAACTATATATATAAAAGGCTTTATTTGATCAAGGATATAAATATTTCTTGATATAAAAATGTTAAGCAATAAGGGATAAATCAATGATATAAAAAAATGCATCTAAACAATGTGAAAACTAACAAAAAAAATCAACATACCTTGTGTCCAAATTTGACATCCACTTCTTGGTCAAAATGATCAACAACGATTATAGTTACGACTGTTTTGATAAGTACAGAAAACTCTGATGCAAACCAATGAAAGATTATGTTCACTTATATTTAACAAATTGACATATTTGATTGATTGATTCATCGTTATCAAAGTAAAACCAGAAAAAATATTACTAATCATATATAAAAAATAAACAAGTTAAACAGAAAAATAGAAAAAATCTGAAAAAAAAGAGTAAACGTGTGTAACATATATATATAATATATACATGCATATATAGAGATGAAAATATAGCGATGATATATAGAAAAAATGGAAAGAAAGTGAATCTTGGAGGTTATGAGAGAGGGAAATGAACAAACTAAAAGGGTTATCTTGCTAAATTCTTGATAGCTTAACTTTAATGGCGGATTTTTTTTATCTAGTGAGAGAGATAGAGCAATTTGTACGAATGGAATAATTAGAAAGTTTATCTAAACAACCGCAACAGTAAACTATAAACCATTGAATCTATACATATAAATTAAACCATCGTTTCTATGAATTTATACTCGACTCTATCATTGATCTGAATGCCAACAACAACAACAAAGGATATTGATAGTATGTCATGATATTGGTATTTTTGATAATTTAAAAGTTCATCGAACCTTCGACCCTAGTATATTTCTCAGAAGATTGAAGAAGTCCATGTAAATGTCCCTTTCCAAATGAAGATTTGAACCCAGATTGGGAAGGAACTTTGCTCAGTTCCTTAGCGATTGAACCTCTATGTTGGGTGTCATGGTATTGTTTTTGTCTCCAACTTTGTTTTTGGCGAACATCAGTTGTCCCGGATACTGAAAGTTTCCAACTTCCAATTACGTTTATCTTTTGAAATCCATACCTATTTTTTTTTTATTATAGGAAAAAAAAACATCCTTGCCCATTGCTTGCTGCACTAATCACTGCATTCCTTGACACACGAAGTAATTTTGGTCAAATTCGTAAATTTGAAGGAAAAAAAGACCATCTTTTTATAGGTAGAGGTGTAATCTTACTTCAAATTATTTATGGGATATTAATAATGTTCATCATTTTAAAAGCATCTAAGAAAATCTGAAATTTATGAAATTAAAGAAATATTTTATACAATGGTGATAAAGTTATTGGGCCTTAAATGGGCCGAAAACCACAAAAATCAGCCCAATAAATCTCTGCCTTCCCCTATAAAGTGAAAGTAACCACACTGGAAGAGTTCCTTCTCGCTCACCAAGTCACCACCAAACACTTACAGCGAAAAAGCAGCGAGACAAATGGCGGCTATGGCTTCTCACGCTAAGACGACGACCCTCCGATCACCGTCTCTGCCTCTCTCCTCTTCTTCCTCCGCATTATCCGGCACTACTATCCGACGAACTTCCGGCGTCTCACTCTCTTCTCCGCCGAGCTTCCCCTCCCTCCGCCTCCGTGTACCTTGCCAAGCTTCCTCGGCCACTTCGCCTTCTTCTCCCCCCGATGCCAAAGGCTTGTGTTTCATTTTTTTTGTTGCGGTTTTGGTTCATGTGTGGTTGATATTTGCTTCAGCATTTGCTCTTTGTTGTGTTCGATTTCTCGCTCTTTAAGTCCATTTGTTCCTAGGTCATGATTGCATTTGCTGGTATTGTCATCTTAAGGAACAAAGAAAAAGAATAGCTCTCTAGGGTTTTCGAATTGGTCGGATTAGGATGCTCTCAGATTGGAGATTGTGGTGTCCAACCATAAAGGGTTTTGTAATTTTTTTTCCTTTTTTTTTTTGCGCATAGCGGAGATTCTGTGTAATTTTGGATGTTTTTGGGAGAAATGTGTTGGGATTTTTATCTTCGGACGCTTTTAGATTGGAAGATTGTCACTGAAAACACGAGGTTTTTCCAACTTTCGTACCTAGTGGAGATTCTGAGTAAGTCTTGATAATTTTGGGTGAATTGTGTTGAGGGGATTTTGACGTTTGTACAAGCAAGTGGACAACTGTTTTGTCATATTGGTGTGTTGTTTATATATACATATATGATTGATTACTATGAGTGACAATGTGCACTTATTAAACACAAAGTGGGTTAACCAGCTTTGGCAGGCAAAGTTGTTGACAAAGAAATTTGTAGTTTCTTTTCTGTAAATTGATAAAAGTCTCCATCTTTTTATAATTACATGCATGATGCCTCAATCTAGAAGCATGAAAATTGTGCATGAGAAATGAGTTCATTTTGCGCTTTTGTGGTACCTTGTCATTGTTTTAAAAATGTTTTCTTGCTGTCTGAAATCTGGAGCTTCTTTTGAGGAACCAAGGAGACAATAATGTCTTCCATCTTTCTTATTTGTTATTTTCATCCTGCAGAAAAAGCAGGTCTCAAAGACTTTCTCCACATAGATGATTTTGACAAAGCAGCCGTTATAAAGATGTTGGACAAGGCTGCAGAGGTCAAAGCACTGCTGAAATCAGGAGAGAAGACCTATCTCCCCTTAAAAGGGAAGACCCTGGCTATGATCTTTGCAAAGCCATCCATGAGAACTCGGGTTTCATTTGAGACTGGCTTTTTCTTGCTTGGTGGCCATGCATTATATCTAGGACCCAATGACATCCAGATGGGTAAGCGAGAGGAAACTCGGGATGTTGCCCGTGTTTTGTCTCGCTACAATGACATGATCATGGCTCGTGTATTTGCTCATCAGGTATGCTGGTGAGTTTTGAAAGTTTATGCTGTAGTCTGTTGTAAAAGATTTACAAATGATGACTAGTATATTTATCTATTATTTCAAACATCGCTGTCATACACTCATCAGTTTTTCTGTCAGCGGGTCTTATTACATAATTAGTGGTTTTTAGTCCCTGAAAGCAGAAATATGTCGTTTGTGTTTGGTCTCTTTCTAGGACATCCTCGATCTGGCCAAGTATGCGAGTGTTCCAGTTGTAAATGGTCTCACGGACTTCAACCATCCTTGCCAAATCATGGCCGATGCCCTTACAATTATTGAGCACATTGGTCAACTAGAAGGGACGAAGGTTAGTTAACCCTTTAATCAGCTACCGACTGTTATTTATTTCCCTCATTCTGGACTTCAGTATATGCAAGTAGGCTGATTATGCATTGTTGGAAAACTTTATGATGAAATGCTCAAGCATAACATTAGTATGGCCATACTAGAATTCTGAAATGTACTGCACTTGGTGCCTAAAAATATTAACAACTGCTATCATCATTTCAAATCACCGAGAAAATAGAATGCAAAACGAGTCTTTAAGTGTAAATGATCTACTGGTATGTTATTGAATATCGAAAAGTCTATGAAGCATAACATCACTAGATCAATTGACTTGAACCTAGTTCTGGCTGCAGTTTTAATATACTAATATCGATTCAATAAAGTTCAGGTTGTCTATGTCGGGGATGGGAACAATATCGTGCACTCGTGGTTAGAATTGGCATCTGTTGTGCCGTTCCATTTCGTGTGTGCTTGCCCTAAAGGGTTTGAACCAGACAAAGAAACAGTTTCAAAGGCACAACAAACTGGAGTGAGTAAGATCGAGATCACTAACGATGTTAAAGAAGCTGTCAAAGGAGCCGATGTGGTATACTCGGACGTTTGGGCCAGTATGGGACAGAAGGATGAAGCTGAATACCGCCGTAGAGCATTCCAAGGATTCCAGGTATGGGCATAACCCCGAATATGTTATAGTTTTGAGCTTTATGTTCCTAATCAGTGGATGTGTTTACTGTCAAAGAACATATGCTTCTCCCATAACTAAGTCCAATGAGAGAATCGGTTTAGAACGCTAACTCAAATATCTCAGATCTCATGAGTTATTACCCGATCTTGTATCTGTTTTGGCCGTGTACCTGGAAATTGGGTACTCGAAATAATTTTTGGGTACCCATGGTATTCGAACTCGATTTTAAAAAAGAAATCTTTAAATATTTAAATAAAAATCATATTTTAGGAGCTATTCAGCTCGAGTACCCAAAATTTTTGGGTTATCTGAATTTGAATCCAAAATTTTAAGAGATTTTAGCAGGTTTGTATGTAATATCTCTATAAGGTAAGGTAAAAATATCATTTTCATTTGGGTAACTGTAGATAATACCCGATCGCAGATCCAAATCCAATTATCCGAACTCAATTTTTTGGATTTTTCTCATGTTACAACACTGAGAGGTGACGATCATGTCTGATAGTAGCGGAAGGTTCAGTTTTGTGATTGAACAAACCATACATGAAACATAGAGTTTGGGAAAGTGTAAACAACGTTTGTTCAAGGCTACTTTCGCTTAGTTTTGCAACAATGTTTGATGTCTTGATAAAACTCGTTACTTCGTTGTCGGTATTGTAGGTGGACGAAGCTCTTATGAAGTTGGCTGGTCCGAAAGCCTACTTCATGCATTGTTTACCCGCCGAAAGAGGAGTAGAAGTGACCGATGCAGTCATGGAGGCCCCTTACTCTATCGTCTTCCCTCAGGCCGAGAACCGTATGCATGCCCAGAATGCTGTAATGCTTCACCTGCTCGGCTTTTAAACCCGATCTCTCTCATGCCATTGGCTGGTGAAGGGTAGTCGTTTTATATTGAATTGTTAGATAACCGGATTATGTACCGATGAATGGAAGACATTGAACATTGCAGAAATGGGCTATGAATATGCAGGAACTTTCCCTTTTGTTATAAATAGATTCATTATAATCGTGTCTACATCGCTACATTACAGCATGCAATCCCCTGCCCAAGAATGCGGTTTAATTTGCGTTTTCATTCTGTGGCCGGTTTTCGCTAGCAGATTCCAAGAATGTTAACGCTCCTCCACGCCGAATTTGTTCCATGCCTCCTGGAGAAAAAAACCAGGTTAGCCATCGATACAAGAGATTGTTTCGTGGAATTCAATGAAGGTTAGTCGGGAGACGAACCTTGAGAAGGTCGAAAACCTTCTCGCAGATGTATTTCTGTTGAGTGGCTGCACCGCGTTGCTGTAACTTGTCGGGATGAACATAGAGCGTCGCCTTTCGGTAGGCTTTTCTCACCGAGGCGCTCGACACGAGATCTGTAAGATGGATCGGTTTCCATCCGCTCTCGGGTCCAAGAATCTGTGTAAAGGACTCGAGATTCTCAATAAATGACGGTACACTCTTCCATTGAACCGTGAAGAATCATAGAAGTAAGTGAAGACATATTTACATATTGCAGTGTCGAGAGCAATGCCCGCAAGTTTCCTTCCTTGCCACTCGACCAACGTTTAACTTCCGCATCAAGAGTCTCCGCCAGTCTCTGCCGATTTCAGGTAATAGTAAGAAAAACATTGCGATCAAAACGAAAGTTTTCGAGAAGTATGCAAAAGGAATTGTAAGTGGTGGTTACGTTTCGCTCGGCTTGCTCTTTCTGGGCGATGAGATCTCGCAGTTTCTTCTCGGCGAGAGCCTTTTCCTGAGAATAAATGATAACCCGAGCAAAGAAACGAGGAGTTGTTACTGCTGTTTTCATAGCACTGACTATGCAGATATGGAGGAGGAGAAGAAACAACATACCGCACGTTCGGTTGTTCTCTGATGTCTCTCGGATCTCGCTTTACACCGCTGCGCTGGTTCACCGTTACCTTCATCGGGCAAATAAGATCAACGAAGTCAGGGATTTTCTACGGCGTAACTTCTCGAATATAGAACAAGAAAAGCTCATATCTATAAACAGGACGAGTATATATGCATATCGGTATGTACTGTTTGGGTTTGAAGAACCAGAAGGAGCCGCTGAATTCCGGTTCTCTGTGCCCTGCAGATTCAGGAATCCACATGTCAACAAGAAAGAATGGCTGTGAATGAACGGAGAAAATCGAAAAGGAAGAGTAGAATAGCGAAAACTCACAGAAAAAGAGAAATTGCGTCTTTCACCCGAAGCGGCTGATGATTTCCCAGCTTGGTTTCTTGCTTTTCCAGATAATGCTTTCTCGAGGGCTCGTTCTCTGGCCTCGGAGAGAGCTCTCTCCACAGCAGCACGCTCGGCTCGGAGTTTGGCTTGCATGGAAGCCTTCTCAGCTGATGATAATTTGTCGGTGGCATCAACAGATGTCTTCTCTGGCCTCCCTCCTCGGATTTCAGAGGTCTTTCTACGGTGTGTTCCTGCATTTGCTGCTTTCTCCATAGCTGCTCTTTCTGCCCTTTCTCGGGCATCGGCAAAGGCCCTTTCACGGGCTTCACGGATAGCTCTCTCTACCATAATTCTCTCATTTTCTCTCTCTTTCGCTTTCCCTTTTGCTTCATCTATCATTTTATTATTATGTTCCTCTGCAGGCTCTGCTTTGTTCTGTGAAGCATCATCGGTAGTAGCATCGGTGTTTCTATCTGCTGCTGCAACTTTTTCTTCATCTTCTTTGGATGAAGAACCGGGCATCGAAGCTGCTTCCATTTCGTTTCTATCATTAAACTCTTCTGGGAACTCGTGATCTGGATTTCCCGCATTTTCTCGAAGTTTGTGTTTGGTTTCTGGTGAATGTCTCGCTTCCGATTCTGAATAATTGTCGTTCTCGTTGGGCTGGCCGATGAACTGCATGTCGTCTACATCCCAACCACTCTTATTCGACTCGGAATCTACTTCTTCAATATGTTCCTCCATGCTACTGGTTGAACCGGTATTTTCAGGGTATCGATCATATATCTTCTGCTCAAGGCCTACCTCCCCGATTCGCGCACTTTCAAACGACGGATCTCTCATGTTATCATCTATACTACCGCCCATATTAGTCTCTTCAGCTAACTCTTTGCATGGCTTTTGCTCAGATTTCTTGTCGGAACTACACGGGTAATCATGTCTCAGTATTTCAGTTCGAGAATCCGCCTGCTCTTTTATCTCCTCGAGTTCGGAGGCGGCTCCTAGATCCAAGCTATCTGCTTCAGAAACTTCTGGTACATCTTCCACTTCTAGGATCTTGGCCATTTCAGGGCCTACCAACTCTTCTTCTCCTATCAGTTCATAGACAAAACATGGTTTATTTTGTTCTTCCATCTCACCATCCTTTTTTCTGCACAACGTTTGCAGTGCTAAAGTTGAGTCTTCATCGTCCGATGTCCCTGCAGTTCCTTTCCTATCCATTCCTTCATCCCTTTGATGAATCTCGATCTCACTCTGTTCGGATTCCAGTAAGGAACGATTTTCGTCCTCTCTCTTAGTGTCTACTGTCTGGAACATCTGCCTAAACATCTGCTTAAGCACGTTCCAATTTTCTTGCAATCCCGTGTCAGTAGGTAGCTCGGAAATGCTCTCTGTTTCTTCATCTCTGGTAATATCATCATTGTCATTGTCAGCTCTTTCACTCTGCTCTCTGAGGCATCTCTTCATCGTTTCTTTCTCGTCATCTTCTAGCTGCCAAGCTCTGTCGTATCGCTTCATACCCTTTATCATATCGTAGACATCTTCCGAGGTTTTCCAAACTCTCCTTCTTCGTGGTGTCTTGTTCTCATTCTCGTTCCCTTTCCCGTTGTGCCCAAATACCAAAGCGTTTTCTCCGAGGATAGATGCCATAGATTTAGCATTCTCGTCTATCTGAGTAGGTCTGTGGATCTCTCCCACTTCCCTTTCATATGTTTCAGCATCAACATCACCAACAAGCATCTCCCGTGGCTCGGAGAGACTCTCCTTCTCGCCTTCCCGATCTAGAATCTCGTGAATTAGGTCAGAATTCTCGTGGGTATTACATGAACCAGACCCGTTTTCAGATTGCTCGCACCGTCCCGTTTCTTTCTCCTCCTTCTGTGAGCACACTTCTGTGGAATTACACAGTGTAGATCCATCGTTCTCATCTCTCTGAGTTAGGCTTTCTCTGTGAATCTCTTCCTCTTCCCTTTCACATATGTTTGTGTACACTATCTTATCCTCGCCTTCCCGATTTTGGACCATGACATGCTCCGCTCCCTCTGCCTCGGATGTCTGTGCAACCTTGCTCCCCGTGAAAGCCTCAACGACACATTTTAACTTGTTACCGAGTTGCCCGAATGAATAGAATGAGTTTCCGGTTACCTTCTGCATCTCCTCGTTCGTTCTGGATATCCCACCAGGTAATTCCCAGTGCTTCCGAGCTTTTTTTGCATGTTCCTCTTCTTGTTCTTTCATCTCTTCCTGCATATGGTGCAGTGTTGATTTCAGAATTCCACCCGGGACTTCCCAGAGCCTCCGACGAGCTCTTTTCGCTTGCTGCTCTCCCTGTTCCGGAGATGATTGTTTACAAGAGCTCTCCTCTTCACCAACATTTTGCTCTTCCTCATCTGGGATTTCACCAAGATTTGGCTCTCCCTTATCTGGAAATGATCGTTCTGAAGAATCTACCACTTTATCGACATTTTTCTCGATCTTATTCGGAATTGATTGTTCAGGAGAAACGTCTTGCTCCCCCTCATTCGAGATTATTTTTTCAGAAAAGATCGCTGCTTCACCGATATTTTGTTCTCCCTCATCAGGAAACAACTGTTCAGAAGAGTTCACTGCTTCACCTGCATTTCGGTTCCCTGCATTTCTAAATGATTGTTCCGAAGAGTTCACCAGCTCACTGACAATATGCCCTACCTCATTCGGGATTGATTGTTCAGAAGATTTCATCGTTTCCCCATCATTTCGCTCTACCTCGTTCAGAATTGATTTTTCAGACGAGATCACCACTTCAACGACATTATTCTCTCCTCCATTTGGGATGATGGATTGTTCAGAAGATTTCACCGATCCAGCGACATTTTGCTCCCCTCCCTCCGGGATTGATTGTTCAGAAGAATTCACTGCTTCACCAACATTTTGCTCTCCCCGTTTCGGGGATGATTGTTCAGATGAGTTCACCATTTCACCAATATTTTGCTCTCCCCTTTTCGGGATTGATTGCTCCGAAGATTTCGCCGCTTCACCGAGATTTTGATCTCCCCATTTCGGGATTGATTGTTCAGAAGATTTCACCAATTCACCGGCATTTTGCTCTCTCCATTTCGGGAAGGATTTTTCAGAAGATTTCACCGCTTCAGCGGGATTTTGCTCTCCCCATTTCGGAATTGATTGCTCCAAAGGGTTCACCACGTCACCAACATTTAGTTCTCCCCTTTTTGGGATTGATTGCTCAGAAGATTTCAGCGCCTCACCGAGATTTTGCTCTCCCCATCTCATTATTGATTGTTCAGATGAGTTCACCGATTCACCAACATTTTGCCCTCCCCATTTCGGCAAGGATTTTTCAGAAGATTTCACCGCTTCCCCAACATTTTTCTGTCGCCCATTCAGAATTAATTGTTCAGACAAGTTCACCTCTTCACCGACATTTTGTTCTTTCCCGTATCCGGTTGACTGTTCAGAAGAGTTCACCACTTCACCGACAATATTCTCTCCCTTATCAAGAAATGATTGTTCAGAAGAGATCACCGATTCATCAACATTTCGGTTTCCTGCATTTGGAGATGATTCTTTCGAAGAGTTCACTGCTTCACCAACATTTAGCTTTCCAGAATTTGGAAATGACTGATTAGAATAGTTCACCGACTCATCAAAAAATCTCTCTCCCTCAAGTGGAAATGGTTCTTCAGAAGACTTCACCACTTCACCAACACTTTCCGTCCCATCGTCTCTATGGCTTCCGAATTTTCTGTTGCCTTTATCCGCAACTCTAAGGCCACCAGAAGATCTCGGTTTTGCACGACTACTTCGAGATCCCGCCTTTTTCCTTTCCATCATTTGTTTTGCCATGTTTATCCTCAACTGAGCTTCTTCTAAGGCCTTTTTCAGTACAGCAGAAGATGCAGCAGCAACTGAATTCGCATCAGTTTCCTCATCAAAGTATGGAGGCGAACATGGTAAATCAACATCTTCAGATCGAAAACTTTCCAAACTTCCTGAGTTCGGAACCTTTGATCTTTCAGAAGCTTTCTTGTCACTATCCAGCGAACATGAAGGCGGTATCACATCTGGATGCTTAGCATTAAGATCAGTTTTGGATTCACTACTGGTGAAGATATCACCAACACTGCTTCCATTTCTACCAAAGATCATTTCAAACTCGGTATTGTTTTTAGAACTCCGTTTTCTTGACCCATTACTGGAAGGAATATCAACTTGGGCAGTGTTACAGTCTGCAACTTTTACGGGATTTCCATGGTGTGGCTCCTTTTCAACCGAGGAAACAAGGGATCTACTTTCAATCTTCGATAATGGGCACGGATTCTCAACCAGTTGAGTATAACCAGATACAGCATGGAACTGAGCAGCCTGAGTTTTGTCTTTTATCCCATTCTCATTCAGAGGAGTCGTCTGATGGTATAACACATTGAACTGCTTCATGCTTACAACTTCGGGTGAGGAAATCTGATTCTTCAGCTTAGTAGAAGGTGGAATAACAAAAGATTTTCCAGCTTTCTTGTGATTCCTACACATCAGGACATAGGGCAAAACTCATCGACAATCAGTTTCCAACATCAATAGTGTTAAATCATTCATGGAACATAGTCTCTACCCAAGAGAAACAATACCAAACTATGAAACAAGCCGACAATTGATTCAACTTGGTCGTACCAGAGATTAGCCTATGTACCTAACCAGATTCAACTCATTGCAACAATAAAAGACTCAGCTTTGACGAGCCAAACTAAGAACAGAGCGAGGGCATTGAGCATTGATTCTGTGTGAGTAAACCCATGTCGAAGAAAATGTGTCATCCCCCAAAAAATGGAAAGGATCAACTCTTGAACTTGCACAAGTTGAGAAATGGTGAATAGCCATTGAAAGATCATCCCAAACGGGACAATGTCTCAATGATCAGACAAAAATTGGGTCGATTTTCAGAAAGGCAAACATAAAAAGGATCTTGTGGATGAGTAAAAGTACCGTTTATCTGCTTCTGCGGAGCTTTTCTTCTCGGACTTGATGATCAGTTCTTCGGGAGAGACAGTGAAATCGCAACCCACGAAACCACCGAAGACCGAAGCGTAATCGAGCTTGGAGCTACGAACATCGATCTTAATCTTCTCCTCGTTGAGCTCAGGGAGGTCCAGGAACGGAATCGAAGACGAAGAAGGACCCGACCCACGGAAAATCTCGCCGTAATCGATCGCCGGAGTAGGTTTCTTAGTCGCCGGAGAAGAGAAAACGCCGTCGTAGACGCCATTGGCGCTGAAGCTGAGGCTATGGCTACGGTTCCTGTGCTTCCTGGAGAAGACAGGAGCAGTGGGAGGCTTTTCGTACTCCATTTTCGGATTCCGAACCAAGCTTGAAGAAGAAAAGGAAGAGAGCTCGCTAGGGTTTTGTTTGCTCGCTAGTGTTCTTCTGGTACTTGTCTTCACCGTTGTCTTTCTCACTGGTTTTTCTCCGCAGACGAAAAATCTGGAGAGAGAGAGAGAGACTTATGATTATGAGCTGTGTTTCATTGAGAGAAACTGACATTGAAATTAGAAAAACAATATTTGAAAAACGCGTGATCGATAATTACTGTCCTAAAATTATTTTAAAAAAATATTAACAGAGACAGTAATTTCTTTTCATCAAAGACAAATCCAAACTACATAAATAATTTGATTAATTTACCGAATAATATCCTGCTTTGTTTCACACACAAAACTTATATAAATGATGTATTTATATCACTCACTGGGCACGCAAAAAAAATCGAAGTAATCCACATTAATAAACTAAACACAAGTAATAATTTATAGAATAAAATAATAAATATCAAATTCATAACAACTATCAGATTATTAGTGATGTTGATATTAATAACTAAATCCGAAATTTTTGGTCGGAAATAGCATTTATAAGCTGTAAAATAATCTAATAATATAAAAATAAGGGGAAATCGAAAAAAAAGAAGAATATACTTTTTCTCGTCAGCATTATACATATATTTTTAAAATTATAAATAAATCTTATATTTATTTATGTTGATTGACATATAAATACATATATTTTTGAAATATTAGCAAATTTTTTCCTGCAACCAAACGTCATTAAAACTGTCACGGTACAAAAATAATGACCTAACCACACGCTACTTCACCATCCACATATTAAAAAATAAATAAAAATAATAATAATAAATATATGTATAATTATATATATATGTGTATAACTATGTATATATATACAAATACCTATAGGTTATATATACGTATGTATATCTGTATATGTGTGTGTGTATATACACATACGTGTATGTATTATTATTTATTATTTATTACTGATGTGCGTATGACTAGATAGATGGTCATTTTTGTCACGTCAGATTTAACGGTGTTTGGTCGTAGGGATAAATTGCTAATATTTAAAAGTATATGTATTTATATATTATATATTTGTAATTAAAAAAGTATAGGTATTAAATAGGGATGATGGAAAAATATAGTATTTTTGTCGATTTTCCTAAAAAATAATTATATTCAGAACAGTTGTTTAAAAAAAACTTTTTTTATTGATAAGTATGAAGTATGATTTCCAACTTTTAATAAGATTAATATACATTGATATAAGATAATGTGTACTTAATATACATTTATTTTATAAAACATGGTTTTTTCTTAAATAAACACTTTAAATGTTTCTCAAAAGAAAAAGATTAAGAGTATATTATTTGTTATAAATTTACCTCTTTTGATAATTATTGTTTATTTCTTGGAGAAAAGAAGTGCCATTATTGCTTGTACTATAAAAGTAAATTAACGTTGAGAGGCCTTTGCCTATGAATTAACTTTAAAATTTACTATAACTTGTATTAGAACGTTAAGAATTTGATTGTGTAGGTTAACGTAAAATATTATATTATTGATAAATGCGACAAGAAAAAGGATGGACTGTCTCCATTAATTTCTTTTTATGTCGCTATTTGTTTAGTAATTATGAAGGATATATAAATGAATAAAAACGTAATGCATTTAATTTACATATTAAGAATTTTAGAATTTTCTATTTGATTAAAAAAAAAGTCTTTCATTTTTATTGACTTCATATTATATTTCAAAATTTTATAACAAATAAACTCCGTTGTACGAACAAATTCCGTACAAATAGAAACTCCCAATATTTTTCACAACAAAACCCAAAATTATCTAACAAATGAAAAAGATAGAATAACGATTTTATTCTTATTGCGAAATTATTAGAAAATTATATTAGTTTTTAACATTTTAAAAAAAGTTTTGTGTTTGGACTGTTTTGTCCAAGCTGTCACCAAAGGTGCAGACTGCAGAAGGTTCAAAGCGAATGGCCAATGGGGGTATTTTCGTGACATCAAATTAGAGAAAATAAGGTGGGACCTTTTGATGACCGTTTAGGCTCTTACTCGTTGAATTTGATATTTTTTACTTTTTTTATTGTTACTCTTTTGCGGAGCAAAAAATAATTATTTGTTTTTTTGTGTGATATATTTATTTATGCATATGCATATATATATATATATATATATATCATCATTTTTACATAAAATTACAAAAAAATTATCAAATGTCCCCATAAAAATATCATTTGGTTCAATAAAATGATAGGTATAAAATGAATCTCCCCTCTTATATTATTTTTTAGGTCCGTCATTATATATATATAATGTAAATATATATATATATATATTTATATTTACGTACGTATGTATTTATGAATAATTTTTTAGGACCTAAAAAAATATTGAACTTTTCGATTTTGTCAAATAAATATTAAACTTTTTAAAAAGTCTATTGTTCATTTGACAAAAATAAAGATTCAGTATTTTTTGGTAAAAAATTGTAAGGTTTCTTGTTTTTTTATTTTATAATTTTATAATTATTTTTATTGAATTTTTATTATTTTATTAATTTTATTTTCATAAATATTTTTTTTAAATTTGTTGTTTACATGATAAATTTGAGGAAACCACATTGAAATTTGATCGGATTTTCTGACAATCAAGGAAATTAGACAAAATTTAAAAATTATATTGTCAAAGATTAATCGTTGATTGCAAATTCAGAAATTAAAATAATGAGGTATGAATTTATTAGTTAAGTTATCAATTTTTTTTTGAATTTACCCTATTTTAATATTATTCGTTCTATTTAATTTGGACAAGGAAAACGATGTGTTATGATTTCAAGAAATACGAGAAATGAGTCCGTCTTTCGATGCTTGTGGGTGTGGTCTAAATTACGGAATACAACAATCGTAATATGAATGTGTTATATGTATATAATATGTATACGTATAGGTTCAAATTGGGTTCGGCGTTTTGGTTCGCTTATAAACGAACCAAAAATTTCGGTATTTTTTTTCTAACTGTATCATTAAAAATTCTCAAACAGTATATTTTTTATAAAATCGAATTTTTCAAAATTTAACCGAATCAAATTTTATAAAATTCTTTAAAAATCAAAATTTTGTTAAAAGTTTTAGATTTTTTAACAAAAATTGAAACTTCATAACTGGAACCAAACCAAATCCCGAGGTTCAATGTAATGATTTCCAGCTTCACAAGTACTGTCAATAACCAAGGGCTAACGGACGAATTCCATTCATATATATATGGGAGATATTCAAAATATAAAATTTAATAAATATTAAAAGATGAAAAAAAAAAAGAAATACCAAAAGGTAAAAGAAATGAAATTTTGCCATTTCCAAGATCGTTCCTGTTATCACCGCTTTCGAGCGAATACAAACAAAGAGAGAAAAAAGCTTGAATAGGAAAATAATATGTATAGAAGAGGAGCCAATAGGATAATATTTTTTATTTTTAGATATAAACTATCAAATTAATTCGAATGAGATATATATACTTCTATATCATTGTATTTCAATTTAATGTGATTTTAAAATTAATTTTATTTAAAGTTTTTATTTAAAAATATGAAAATAGATTAATATCGAATATAACAATAATAAAAAATTGGGGAAAAAGAGGGTTTTAAAATTATTTTGTATAGAAATAAAGGGGAACAGAAGTTAAATTGAATTGATATAAATCTTCTGAAAAAAATTAATTAAAAATATTTAAACGGAAATAGAACAAAGATAGAGATAGATAATTTATCTAAAAATGGAATAAAAAGCAAAAGATGAGTTTAGTTTCAATTTCTCCATTAACAAAAATGTGTGGGGGAAATACCAAATGAAGATACAATCTGTAACGAATTTTGGCCCACACCAATATTTGTGACTTGGAATAAATAGTCAGTGATTACCTAATGATGCTGTAAATAATTTCGGTTGTCTAAATGCCTTTTTCAACCATAATCGAACATAATCATATTATATATTTGGTTGTGATTACAATTATGATTAACCAAATTGAAAGTGACAAATAGATGGAAACGAGACATGCATTGTGTGTGATGTTGACTAAGTCGACGGTTCACTTGAACAAATCTATGATTCGTGAGATATGACAGGCCCTATTATTATGATTTTTGTAAACAAAATACAAAATTCTAATACATGCATATATTTATTTTGGATGAATTTTTTTATTCGTCCAAACAAAACACCCCGTTATAATACGAGTCGCAATTTTTTTTTGAGTAATCGGGTATCCGGAAGAGCAAGACTCACACTAATTTTTGGATCGGGAGTCACCTATATAATTTAGATCATACGTTTATTTTCTTTGAAGTTCGAATTCGGGAGGAGATAGACGTTTTGCATCCATTTTCACCGGTTCAACTTTCCAAGTTTGGATATTCTAGTGGCCAATAAAAAACATGCAAGACTTTTGAAGATGTTTTCAGCGATCAAATAAAAAATATATGATATCTTTTAAAAGTTCTTTTTCTCATAACAATTATAATATTTTATAAGAATGAGAATCTAATTATGCAGTCAAAAGAATAAAAACGGAGCCCACATAAATTACGACAATGATTTTTTTATTAATATATATATATATTCATACTCCTTTTGTAACATCATAAAACCCTATCTTTGTTGTGTCTGCAATGTCTTTCCACGGTTTAAAGCGTTTCTGTATACTTTCTCACCCAAAGGAAAAGAGTGTGTGGGAATCTAAGAGCACATGTAATGCATATTCACGCCACATGCTTCATTCCTACTTTTATTCCGAATAAACAAAATAATATGTAAAGTTATAATTTGCTATTAAAAAGAAATTTATTAGAGATATATATGAACATATAAATAGTTTTTTTTATATATGTTTTAATTAGCTCAACAGAAAATATTAGATATTCAAACGACAGAACAAATTGCATATATCTTTGTCAAACTATTCCCAAAAAAACATGTTTATAACTATGGAGTTGTTTCGAGATAAACAACCAAAAAAAGTAGTTATCTCTCATTCTAGGGTGCATCTGTCCCATTCGTGCCCTTTGGTCTAGCGGTCTAGGGAACC